CTTTTAGGAGGTAACAGGTAAGATGGGAAAAGGGGAAATAATGGATGCATTATGTTTGGATTTTCAGAAGGCATTTGATAAGGTACCACACATTTGGTTACTTAATAAGATAAGAACTTATGATGTTGGTGGTAGTATATTAACATGAAAAGTGGATTAGCAAACTGACAGAAGACAGAGTCGGGTTAAGGGAAGCATTTTCAGTACGACAATCTGTAACTACTGGAGGACCACGGGGATCAGTGCTGGGGCAACAATTATTTACAATATATATTAATAACTTGAATGAGGAAAGTGACTGTGCTATAACCAAGATTGTAGATGATACAAAAACTAATGGGAAGGCAAGTGGTTAGGCTATTGGGCAAAAATTTAGCAAATTAAATATGCTGTGGGAAAAAGTAATGTACTTTGACAGGTATACAGGAGCTGTATGTGATTTCAATGGAGAAAGATCCAGAACAAAGGGATTAGGGAGTCCTCAGCCATAAATCATAAAAAGCTAGCAAAGTTCAGCAGGTAATTGGGAAGGCAAATGGAAAGGTTAGTCTTTATTATGAAAGGAATGGAGCATAAAAGTCAAGAGGTTTTGCTAAACCCATATAAGACACTAGTCAGGCCATAGCTGGAATACTGTGAGCAGTTTTGAGTATCTTATCTAAGGTAAGACACATTGGCATTAGAAGCAGTCCACAGAAGTTTCACCAGGCTGATCCTGGGTAGGGAGGGGCTGTCTTATAAGGAAAGGTTGAGCTGTCAGCTTTGGAATTTAGATGAATGAGAGGATATCTTACTGAAATATATAGAATTCTTTGGGGACTTGACAGGCTAGATACTGAGAGATTGTTTCCACTTCTGGAAGAGTCTAAGACCAGAGGCATAATCTCAGAATAAGGGGTTGCATATTTAAGAAAGAGATGAGGAAGAATACCTTCTTTCAAAGGGTAGTGAATCTGTGGAATTTTGTACAATAGAGAGCTACAGATACTGGGTTGTTAAATCTATTCAATGTTGAGGTAGATAGATTTTTAATCAGTAAAGGAAACAAAGGTTATAGGGAAAAGACAGCAAAGTGGTGTGATGGGTTACCAGATCAGCTATGATCTCACTGAATGGTCTACTTTTGCTTCTATATTTTCTGGTCTAATGGTCTCCTGTAAAATCCTCATGGAGACAAAGATTCATTTCACATGAAAAACACCTTTTAGTATGTAGGTAGCACTACCACCATGATAAATCGGAAAGTAATCCTACCAGCTCAAGCTATCCACAAAGCAATGTGGGCCTAGGTAGCAGTACTGTTTTCCACCGTACTCTGTAACCATATTACCTGACGTATTCCTTTTTCTATTGTTATCACTAAGTTAGGGGATCAATTCTAGTTCAATGAGTTGTAGAAGGGTGTGCTAACAGGAGTACTAGGCATGTCTAAAACTGCGATGCTAACCTTATGAAGCTGCACCACAGGACTGTAAGCAGGTAAACAGAAAAAGCAGCATACTATAGGCAGAGCTATGTAATCCAACACTGTCCAATCACAGCAGAGCTCTGAAGCCATGCCACATCCAACTGTAATTGGCAGATAATGAAATAACTGACAAGAGGATAAGGCAACATTAAAATCCCAACCTAAAATGATGGAAAGACTGACCACTGAATGTAGAGGTAAGGCATCTGCAACTACCTTCAGCCAGAAGTGTCAAGCATCTGATCTCGCTTCACCTTCTTCTAAGATTCACACCATCACAGAAATCAGGCTTCAGCCACTTCTATCCACACCATAAAAAAACAGCTAAATGTGCTGGATATATCAAATACTATAAGCCCCAACAGTATGACTATAGTACTGAAGATTGTGCACCAGAACTGGCCATACCTCTAGCTAAGTTGGTCCACTACAGTGAAAATGTTAGTACCTATCCAACAAAGTGGAATTGCCCAACTATGTCCTGACAACAAAAAGAACAATCAAACTGATTTGGCCAACTGTCAACTAATCAGTCTAAATATATTTTAATCATCTTGTTCACAAATGTTATGACACACCTCTGAAGCAGGTGAGTCTACAACTCAAGCTTTCTAGTTCAGGGCCCTATATCTGAGGAAGGATGTACTGGCCCTGGAGCAGGTTCAGAGGAGGTTCACAAGAATGGTCCCAGGAATGAAAAGCTTAACATATGAGGAACGTTTGAGGTCTCTGGGACTATACTCATTGGAGTTTAGAAGGATGAGGGGGGATCTAATTGAAACTTACAGATACTGAATGGCCTGGACAGAGTAGATGTTGGGAAGATGCTTTCATTTGTAGGAGAGACTAGAACCCGAAGGTACAGCCTTAGAGTAAAGAGAAGACCTATTAGAACGGAGATAAGGAGAAACTTCTTCAGCCAGAGAGTGGTGAATCTATGGAATTCACTGCCACAGAAGGCTGTGGAGGCCAGGTCGTTGAGTACATTTAAGACTGAGATAGATAGGCTCTTGATTATCAAGGGGATCAAGGGTAACGGGGAGAGCGCGGGAGAATGGGGTTGAGGAACTTATCAGCCATGATTGAATGGCGGAGCAGACTTGATGGGCCGAACAGCCTACTTTCTGCTCCTATGTCTTATAGATATAACCACCATTTTACAAGAGCCCCATACCAATCAGTCTACTCTCGATCTGGGAATGGAAGGTACCAATGACAGTGCAATCAAGCAGACTTACTCATCAGTAATCTGCTTACAAATGCTCAGTTTAGGGCTGTTGTCACAGTGTGGAAGTATTCCTGCCTTTGAGCTAGAAGGCCTGGGTTCAAGTTGCAGCTGCTTCAGAAGTGTGTTACGGCACATCTGAAAGTTTGATTAAAAATGTCTACAAAAGTTCAGTTTGGATTCAGTGAGGGCCACTCAGCTCCAGACTGCATCCCAGACGGGATTCAAACATGGACAAGAGAGCCGAACTCCAGTAGTGAAATGAGAGTGGCAACACGGCAGTCTTGGAGTAAGCATGGCATCGAAGACCCCATTGTAAACATTGAATCGATAGCAATCAGGGGAAAGGCTAATGTCACATTTAGCATTAAAAGAAGATTGTTGTGGTTGTTGGAGGCTGATCATGTTAGGCCCAGATAATGCTGCGTGAGTTTGGACAGATTCCCTACTTCCTTATAACCAATCTGTGGACCAGGTTAATAATTTGCCCTTCAATTCCAAGAGCTTCAATTTTAGCTAACATGTTTTACGTGGAACGTTATAAATGCCTAAGTGTTCTCATAAACTTATGCAATAACAAACAAAAATGATACGGCCTTACTTGCAACTCTCACAATTACAGAAAATTTTTCAAAACTTGCAATCAGTGAAGGAAATTTAATTATATTGAACGGTGCATTAAAATTTTCTGATATAAATTTCGAACATTGGAAATATCTGCCAATCACTGGACTTAAACATAAAATATTCGCAATCTGAATACTTATGTGTCATAATGTAGTAAATTTTTTTGCAATATTGCAGATGTTCCTTCACAGGATTTTGGTTAAATGTAATTTCATACTGAGTCACAGAGGCTAGCAGTAGGATAGAGAACCAAAAGCTTGCTCAGAGGTAAGCTTTAAGGACCATCTCTATTTCCTTCTTTGAGCCGGGGAAATATAGGTCCTAGGTAACTGAAGCGCGCCTGCCAATAAAGCTATAAAAATGCGGAAATCTAAAAACTGTAGAACAGGGAAAATTATAGAGACTTGAAGAAATAAGACAACGAAAGGATTTGAAAACAGGATGAAAATTTTATAAACAGACATTGGTGAACCAAGTCACAATAAAGGGAAGTAAGCACAGAAGTGATGGGTGAACAGAATTTGGTGCACAGTTTGGAGGCAGCTACTGAGTTTTGGATGAGCTCAAGTTTATGCAAGTTCCAAGATGGGGAGCGTTTGAATTTTTGGGTCTAGAAGCATGAACAACGGCTTAAACAGCAAGGGTGGAACTGAGTGATGTTATAGACGTGGAAGTAAGGTGTCACAGTGATGGAACAGATGTGTGAATGAAAATTCAACTTTGAAACAAAAAATTGCCAATGTTAGACCTCTTGTGGCACAGGGGTACTGGGCTTGCCTCTGGAAGTGCTGTTCTGGAGGTCTATCACAACGTATCCGAACAGGTTGATTTAAAATATTTAAGAATTGTCAATTGTCTGTTTTAGTATCAGGCAGCCAACTAAAAAGTACTGAGCAGAACATCTTTTGGAATACCTCTTGACAAAGCAGTCCCATCCACAGTCAAACTCTTTTCTGAGTGTAGAAATTCAGTTGTTAGTGATGTTACTGTAGTGCAGGGGAGGCAATAGCATACTGGTAATGTCACGAAACTAGCAATCTATAATTTCAGACTAATGTTTTGGGGAATATTATGGATTTGAATCTGATCACGGCAGACAGTCTAATGGTGACCACATAAACACTGCCAATTGTGGTAAATGCCTATCTCATTCACCACTATCATTTAGGGAGGGAAATCTACTTTTCTTACCTGGTCTGGCCTACATGTGCCTCCAGACTGACAGGAATGTGACTGATTCTTAATTGGCTGCTGGACAATTAGGGATGGGCAATAAATGCTGGCCAGCTAGCAACATCCACATCCCATGAGCAACCTCTTTTAAAAATAAAGAGGATTGTAGACAAATCAAACAATGTAATTATTTCACAAAATAATATAAATCAGACCTTGGACAGCAACATTAAAAAACTTGCAATTCCAAACAGGCTTTTACGAATATCCACAAAGCTGGCTATTTCACAGTACAGGTGGCAGCTATTAGGCCCATTAGAGTCATGCTAGTGCTTTGAAAAAGCTATCCAATTTGGATGCTCTTTAATTGTAGCCCTGGAATGTTTACCTTTGAGTAAATTGTTAATTCTAAAATAGTAATACAATGGGCCAAAACCAATGCCATATCTAACAGTAATGTTGGCAGGCTCAATGAGCGACACTCAAATTCTAAATGCACCAACTTGCCTTTTTTAAAGTCTTCCAGCACAGCATCCAGTTTTGCGTCATTAAACACAAAATGCAGAGGATGGTTATAAAACTTTGTCATTGTTGCTAAAGGCATGTCATCATCTGGGTCAACAAATGCCAAATCTTTCACATAAAGTATGTCAACAATGTTTGAGCGTTCATTCTCATATACAGGAATTCTTGTATAGCCACTCTGCATGATTTCTGACATGGTCGCAAAGTCCAGGACAGCCTCAGAGCTCAGCATGAAGCAATCGCCTAGAGGGGTCAGGACATCTTCGACTGTCTTCTTCCTGAGTTCAAGGGCTCCCTCGATGATATTGAGCTCCTCTTTAACTAGATCGTTGTAAGGATCAGTCACCTTGAGCATCTCGATCAGCTTTTCTCTTGTGTAGAAGTTGCTGATCTGCTGTTGCAAGATGACGTCCAGGAGTTTGCTGATGGGGTACGAGGCTGGAAAGCTGACGATCATGAAAAATTTAGTCACCAAGATGGTCTTGGAAGCTAAGGCCAGGCCATGCCGGGAGCAGATGGCGTGGGGGAGGATCTCGCCAAAGAAAAATATACAACTGGTACAGACAACGATTGTCAGCCACGTGTTGTGGAACATCTCGCAAAGCCAGACGGTTAGAGAGCAGTTCATCAGGGCATGTCCTAGCAGCAAGGTGCACAGCAGGTAGTTGCCATGTCTCCTCACGGATTCGATGCGTTCTGAGTACTTCCTCTCGTCCTCGTTGCCGCTGTTTTTGATGACCCTGAGCTCCACCGGGTCCAGAGCCATAAGGCTGATGTGCAGGACGCTGAAGAGGGTGGACAGGCAGAGGAAAAGCAAGGAGATGAGGATCTGGAACCTGAGGGTGCTTGTCGGCTCCTTCTCCACCACGGCCAGGTGGAAATCCTCAGTCTTGAAGGCGATCCAGTCGTGAGCGTCCCGGCCCCCGATGCGGGCGCACAACGAGTAGTACTTGATCTTCTCATCCTTCCTCAGGTACTTAGCCTCCAGCTCCACCAGGACCGAGCGGTTGTTCAGACTCGAGCCCAGGATGGCGATGTCCGAGCTGCCCTGCTGGCAGAGCCGCTGGGACTGTCGCTGCTGGCGGGCGCCGCCGGCCGCCGTCTCCAGCAGGCCGCTCACCTCCACAAACGAGAGGCCGGGGCCTCGGGCTCCGCCGTCGCCCAGCAACCCGCTCCACCTCAGGCCCGTACCGTACAGCCGCAGTTTGAAGCGGGTGCCCTCCGTCACCTTCAGCAGACCGCCTTCCAGGAACACGGAGCCCGCCACCGTACTGTCCGGCCTCATGCTCAGCAACTCGGAACGGGACGTCGGCGAAACGGTCTGAGAGGCTGCGGCCGTCGTCCACAACCAGAGGTAAACGGCCAAAGGCGGCCAGCCGCACAGCGCCGCCATCTTACTGAGGGAGAGAGCTCGCGGCCAGGGGGCGGAGCCTAGTGGGGGAAATGGGCGGGACCGCGTGGGAAATGGGTGTGGCTGACGTGAATGGGCGGAACTAAGTGAGGAATTTGCGCAGAGCGGAGAAATGGGCGGAGCTGAACGTGGAGTAGGCGGGGCAGAATGATGAATGGGCGTGGCTAATCAGTGAAAGGGCGAGACCGATCGGAGGGGGGCGGAGTGTGACGAAATGGGCGAAGCTGAGCTTGAAATGGGCGGGGATGAGCGGCAACACAGTGTGGAGCTGGAGGAACACAGCAGGCCAGGCAGCATCAGAGGAGCAGGAAAGCTGGCGTGACGGAGCGTGGGGTGGGCAGGGTGATGTGGGGGGAATGGGCGGGGCCGAGCGCTGAGTGGGCGGAGCTAGAAATGGAGACGGCGCAACGGAGGAGTGGGCGGGGCGATGTGGGGAACGGGCGGGGCGGAGCGCCAAGTGGGCGGAGCTAGAAATGGCGACGGCGTAGCGGTGGAGTGGGCGGGGCCAGACTGTGAGTAGGCGGGAGAAACGTGGAGTAGGCGGGGCGAACCGTGGAGTGGGCGGGGAGAGACAAGGAGTGGGCGGGGTGATGTGATGTTGACAGACCCTGACATGTTCGCCGCTTCCAGGACCCACACGTTCATTCTGAATCTGGCAAATTAACTATCAGTGAATCAACTCATAAGTACTGGCTTTTCAATCACAAAAAGAAACATAGAACGTATTGGATAGACACACAGGGTTAGAGATAAAGACTGCACTTGCAGTTGTTGCGAACGGAGGCTTGGACTCCAACGATCGCACATCCCGACTCCCCAAAGCCTGTCTATTACTTACAAGGCACACGTTAGGAATGCGGGTGGATCAATTAGTCATCGCATCGAAGAGTGCAGCTCCAATAATGTCCAGGTTGGAAATTCTGCAATGAGACACTCATTAACTCCACATAGCCTGTCTTCTGCGTCGATGGCCATGCGATAGTGTGTAACTTAACGGATCCTCTTTCCTAGACATTCGTGTAACAATGGAGATTCTATGTTGAGGATGCCCACGTACGAGATGGCTAGGATTTCCAATGTCTCATAGAGACACCCCTTCTGTCAGGGCGGCGATTAAGATTGGGACTGTCCCAACTTTCCGATGTATCAATGTTAGTGGGATCAAGGTAAAGATGTGTGTATTCTCCTACTGTCTTGAGTCCCAATTAATTTAATTTTAAATATTTCACCCATAGAACTTGAACCAATCTAAGGGAGCCGAGCGCAACTGGGGTTCAGCAAGCGATCATAGTAATTCTGGTTCCGATTGATCAGATAATCTAGACAATGACGCTTTATTTCATCTACCTCGTGGTGACCTACCAGCCATGCCTTTACAGATTCGGTGTTAATGAGGGATGAGATTTGATTGCTTTCTACATTGAGTCCAGCCGTAGTCTGATCCATCAAATAGCTTCTTATGTGGTCTTTGAAATCCTTTTTTATTACCCCCCGCCCTTTGGTTAACATTTTGTCAGCTCCATCTGTCTAATTTCAGATGCTTACCTCATCCCCACCAGTTTCACATTCTCAACCAGTTGGTATATGACATCCTGTGCTTCATCATGTGTATTCAACAATAGGCTTTTCAATTAGTAAAATAACAATATAATTCAACAACTCTCAAGAAGCTCAATATTGTCCAGGACAAAGTAATATACTTGTTCTACACCCCTGCACCCTCGATGCGTAGTAGCAACATGTACAAGGTGCACAGCAGCAGCTCACCAAGGCTGCTTTGGTAACATCTTCCAATTCTATGACATCTATCATCTAGAAGAACAAGGGCAGAGGATGCAAAGGAGCGCAACTCCACCTATGCACTGTCCTGATGCGGAACTATATTCCATTCTTTTACTGTGACCGGTAAAAATTCTGGAACATCCTTCCCAATGGCACTTCGAGTGAATCTAAACCATAACAGAGGTTATGGAATGTGTCTCACTGTCATCATTCAAGGTTCGCCCCGCCCACTCCACGTTTCTCCCCGCCTACTCACAGTCTGGCCCCGCCCACTCCACCGCGACACCGTCTCCATTTCTAGCTCCGCCCCGCCCGTTCACCACATCGCCCCGCCCACTCCACCGTTGCGCCGTCTCCATTTCTAGCTCCGCCCACACAGCGCTTGGCCCCGCCCATTCCCCATTCAGCACGTAAAGGAGGGACGTTACGTTATTTTTTTTAAAGTTTCATTCACTTTTTCAAAATGATCATGCTTTCAAAGTGGAAACATATCTGATACATATCTACTCAATAAAATAAGTAATTTATCTAATATCATGTGTAATTTACACATTAAAGATGTGCCATTTGGGACTGTAAAAGATACAGACAACAGGAACATGATAGCTAGAATTTACATCGCAACTTTAATAGAGAAGGGGGTTCGTTGCTCGGTTGGCTGGTTAGTGATGCCTATAGCGCAGGTTCAATTCTTGCACCGGCTGAGGTTACCATGAAGGACTCTCCTTCTCAACCTCTCCCCTCGCCTATGGTCATTTTACTTTACCTTACAGAGAAATAGTGACACAAACGTTTTCATAAATTATGCAGACTCTAAGCTAAAGATGCAGAGAATCTATCATTGAAAGCTTTCCCTGACGTGGTTTTAATAGAGCAACATAGAAAGGACACTATGTACAGTTTTGATCTCCTTATTTAAGAAAGGATATAAATGCATTAAACAGCTAAGAGCAGGTTCAGTTAATGTGGGGTTTATCTTTTAAGAAAAAGTTTGACAGGCTGAGCCTGTATCCATCGGAGTTTAGATAAGTAAGAGACGATCTTATTGAGAGTCTTGACTGAATGGATGCTGAAAGGATGTACCCCCTTGTGGGAGAAACAAGAACATGTGGACACCATTTAAAAATAAGAGATCTTTCATTAAAGTTAGAGATGAAAATAAATATCTTCTCGCAGAGGGTTGAATCTTTGGAACTATATTCCCCAGAAGGGGTGAAGGCAGAGTCAGTGAAGACTTTTAAGGCAGACTAACTGAGTCAAAAGTTACCAGTGGTAGGCAGGAATGTAGAGTTGAGCTCACAATCAGATCAACCATGATGGTGGAGTAGGTTTGAGGGCCCGATTCTCATATTCATTAGTGAAAAGAGAGGGAACTGGAAAGGTGGAGGAGCTTATGCAGAGAAATCCAGAACTTGCTGTTGAAGCAGCCGATAACACATCCAACAATAGTTGGGCAAAGGGAAAGAGGGGTCTACAAAAAGCTGGAGTCAGCGAATCAAAATATTGGAAGAAGGGTGATATGATTGGAAGAAGCTACATAAGTAGGGTGGCATAAGACCATGACAGGGTTTATAGTTTTTGATTAAAATTTTAAATGCATGGTGTTGGGGTACTGGGAGCCAATATAGGTTAATAAGGATAGGGATGATTAGGATATCTTCCACAATAAAATATGGATAACAGAGTTTTGGAGGAGCAAAGTTTATGGAGAGTATCAGTTGGGACGTGGAGTGTGGAAGTGACCAAATCATGGACAAGGGAGTGAGCAGCAGATGATCCGCAGTAAGGTGATGCTACACAGATGGAATTATGGATTATTTATGATGGAGCCAAGTTAATGTTGGAAACTCAACACAGGATCCATTCAGCAAATGGGTTAATGAGCATAAATTTATGAAGATGTGGGAGAAGCAGTAAGAGTTTGAATAATTAAGTTGAATATGAACAAAAGCATATACTAGAAATTTCAGTATCAAGTAAGCCGATGCAGAGATGAATATGGTGCTGAGCAGGCAGTAGACTTTAGGAGGATACGGAGTCATTCATGTCTTTCGACAATATTACCCGAGGGCAGCATATGGGTAAAAAAATGGGAGGTGAGGTCAAGAATCGGCCCTGGGGGACTTCAGAGGTGACAGTGAGAGGAAAAGCCATTGTCGGAGATTTCCGAGAGAAAGATCAAAGAGGGGATAGTCACATAGGAGGTAATTTATGACTTGAAATCGGACAACACTGTTACAATAAATATTACAAATTCCTCACATCAGAATTCACTGTGATAACTAAGGATAAGTATGTTGAGGTTATCAAACCGAATAGGATATCAGTATTATATAGAATTAGATAAGTAACTGAGCTAAATTATTTAGAGTAGCGCTTAAAACATATTTCAGTGAGAGACAGCGAGAGAGAGAGAGGGAGACAGGCTTTTCAGCACAGCGGGGGTGAGTAGGGGAAAGGAATGTCAATTGCAGTATGGACTCCAGAGCGGCTGGAAAGTAAGTCTCTTTTGCAATAAAGATTTGAAGAGATAAGGGATTAAAGGTTAGAGAGAATAGTAAAGAGTTCTCGCAGATGAGGACCATCTAGAGTGTAATAAAGCTAAAAAACGTTAACTAACATGTAGGCTAAACGATGGCAGCTTTACTTAGTAACTAAACAAAGTGAGTATCAACAGCATATCCATGGAAGGAAATGGGATATTGGGCCCGTTAGTTAACCATAAAGTACAGGTTACACTGTTTGACATCAGAACTTTGCATAGTTTGAACAGGACAACTGTGAACAATGGAGAGAAGCCAACTCACAAGGCTTGATGAGTTCTTTGACACTGAAATTGTGCGCCAGTCTCATGGGACTGCATGTAACGGGCTGTATTCGTGTGTTTCTTAATAAAAGGTGTTAAACAAACTTCTCTGTTTTTCCCAATCCTTGAATTTATACTGAGGTGAATAGTAATGAGTATCTTAAAAATTTAGCAGTAAGTACAGTGTAAAAACAAACAGATGAAAAACTATTGGAAAACAACAGTAGGTGCTGTAGAAACTCTCTGTGGAGAGAAATAAAGTTAAGGTTTCAGGTCAATGATCTTTCATCAATATTGGTAATATGCCAAGTTTTAACAAAGGAGTAGGTACAAAACATGTTCGGCCAAGCGGTCTTCTTCTACACTGTAAAATTCCATAATTCTACAAGTCCAGAATTTTG